AAATTATAGAACTAGATAGTACCGATGGAGCCAAAGTTTTCAGTAAGCAACCAGGAAGAATCCAAAGAGTAGCAAGAGGTTCTGGTGTTTCAACTAGAGATGTTCAGGAACTCCTGACACAGTACACAAAATTTGCACAAATGGTGAAAAAGATGGGAGGCATTAAAGGACTTTTTAAAGGTGAGAATCAATGCATATTTTGAATATCTACTATACATGCATACACAGGTAGTCCTCAACTTTCAACCATTTGTTTAGTGACCGTTCAAAGTTACAACAGCACTGAAAAAAGTGACTTATGACTGTTTTTCACACTTATGACCGTTGCAGCAAACCTGTGGTCACATGATCAAAATTCAGATGCTTGACAATTGGTTCATATATATGACGGTTGCAGTGTCCCAGTATCATGTGATCACCTTTTACAACCTTCTGACAAGCAAAGTCAATAGGGAAGCCAGATTCACTTAACAACCGAGTTACTAAAATTACCAACTGCAGTGATTCATTTAACAACTGTGGCAAGAAAGATCAAAATGGGACAAAACTCATTTAACAACTGTCTCGCTTAGCAACAGAAATTTTAGGCTCAGTTGTCTCAGCAACAGAAATTTGGGACTCAGTTATGGTTGTAAGTCGACAACTACTTGTATTAGGCATTCTGGATTGACTCAGTTGCTTAATACTAGACTCATAGAACTGAATCTAAGAGATCCATCTGCTGATACGGTAAGCCGCATTTAGGGATGGAACAGATGTCTTCTCTGTTCCTGTCACCCCAGGACTTATCACATAGCTGCCTAAAAAGATTGAAGAATCCTCCACAGGACAGATTTGAGAGCCATGTAATACTGGTCCATGACCATAATAAAATGAATTGATTTAGAGGCACATGGAAAGGGAAAAAGAGATGTGAAGTCTTAATACATAAGTCATTTATGGACGTAGCCCATACATTCTAGAAATTGATTTATACTTTCTATCTGTATTAAAATTTGGCACGTAGAAGTTAACTTTTGAAAAGCTATCTTTAGTGGAAACATAGTAATTAGTTCTAGAAATTACAAAGACAGCTAATCTGCATAATTGTTTTGTAGAAAGAGAAATATTTTTATACATTTATGAAATTTCTGCAGAAAACCGTCATTATTGATTTTAAACACATGAAAAACTGCAATATTTGTTTATATTGCTTGCATGAACTGCCTGTCTCTAGCAATCACTCAGACTGTGAAGCCAATTTTAATCCTGCAGAATATTTACAATGCTTCGCTGCCAGATACCAATTAGAAGAGGCTAAGAGAATTTTCATTACTGTTTTGAAATACTAATGAAGATGAATATACGTGTCCCAGGATAATGTTGCAGGATCCAATCTGGGTCGGTCACTGGGATCAGAGGATTAGTCTTCCAAGCTTTTGGATTTGTGCCGGAGCCCATTCTCAAGGAACTTCTCTCTAGCAGAGTATGTGCTTTGGGCTATTCTGTGTATGGTATTTTGAAATACTTCATTACTGTTTTTTTCTTTCCTCTCTCCTCTTTACTTTTCTCTGTTTTAAGGAGGTGATATGTCAAAGAATGTAAATCCATCCCAGATGGCAAAACTGAATCAACAGATGGCAAAGATGATGGATCCCAGAGTTCTTCATCATATGGGTAATTATGCTTTTTCTTTTCTTGCTGCAGGAGTGGGCTGGAAAGGTACTGCTTCCTAACAGTTTGATAAAGTATTTAAAGGCTGCTTTCTGTATGTCTTAGAGACTGAACTCAGCAATTTTGCTATGACAAAATTATATTTATGGTGCAGTACATATTAGTATGCTGGAGTGAAAAAAAATTTTTTTCACAACATTTTTCAGTAAACTAAATTAAAGTGAAATTGTCTTGATATTATGTATAATCTTACTTTACTAGAGATCTCATAACAACTAGATGATTTGAGAGTTAGATGCAAAAACAACCCCTCACAATTATGGTTTCATTTATTTTTCTCTACTTAATATGTACCACATCTATTTTTAAGTGGTTTCTTTTTTTTCTTTTTTTATTTCATTTTATGTGTCATAATGTCTGGGATTCAAAAAATGTGTAACTAACCAAGAGTTTACCAATATTGGTAGAAACATTTATGCATTTTAGTTTGCATGGGCACTTCATTGTTCCACTAAATATTCTTTGCAACTAATTTTGAATCAAGGAGATACTGAATGTGATACGAATGGTTGCTATTTAAGAAGCCGTAGAAAAATAATTTGGGGTGCATGGACCTAGTTTTGTAGTTCTATGCAAAAGCTACAGTTTCTATATGAGTGTTAAAATTAAAAAAATGTAAAAGGCTTCCTCAAAATTGTAATGGGTGCCTACATTTCAGTTTAATATTTCATTACAGGTGGCATGGCAGGATTGCAGTCAATGATGCGCCAATTTCAACAGGGAGCTGCTGGAAATATAAAAGGCATGATGGGATTCAATAACATGTAAAAAACAGCCTTAATAAACTGACTTGATTGACCGTTATTTGCTGGAGTATTTCTAAAAGAAAGAGCTCCTTTTCTGCTGTGGAGAACTTTAATGCAGCGTTATATTTCTAAAACATCCGTTTGGAGACTTTCCAGTATTTAGGTCTAGACAGTGGTTCTAGTTTGGCTTCAGTTTATTAATGTTTCAGTTTTAATATTATCTTGGACCTGTTTAAAAATAAATCGTGTATAAATTTAATATTTAGAGGAACTTTTTAATTGTTTCAAATGGCAACTGTTATATTTGTAAACAATTCAGATCTTTGAACAATGCCAGTTTGTCACAAATATATTGTAAAATAAACTTACATGGTTGTAAATTGAAGAGCTGATTTTTATGCTTACAACAGACTTTAGAAGTAAGCCTGTTGCAAGGAAGTGTTTACTGTTGACAGCGTGCTTCAAAAATGACTTTCAATCTTCTCAGTTGCAACCTCCCTAGAGGTAAGTTTGGGCGGCAATAATAAAACAATATATCTTATTTCCTGATAGTTTGCTATCAGGTAATTCAGAAGAGCCAATGTCCTCAGCAAATGTTCTTTGTGTAAATTTGTTGCAGGAGGTATTCAGATAAATTATATCTTCCGTTCCAGGCTAAATTATGATAGCCTGGAACTGAAGATATACATGCATACATCCATCCACAATAAAAATACATCATTCATATAGAAAGCAAAAATATTTGAACACCACTTTGACTAAATCCTTTGATGTAAATTAAAATGCTGTCCCATAATCTGCAAAATTTGCTTGGCTTTCCTCAAAATCAATGCCAGCTGGATTAACAAAATACTAATACTAATGTTTTAGTATTGATTTAGCAAATGCAAAAGCCCAACTATGTAATTTGGTATGTATACATTTTATCACAGATGGCTAATAATAATAGGCATACTATTTTGTTCTATTAAATATGGGGTATATGATATTGTACCCACAAGTTTTATAACGGAAAAAATTATGATTAACATACAAACTGCCCTGTATTTGTATCAACTAGATTTTATATTATAAAACATAGGACAGTGTTTCTCAACCTTGACAACTTTAAGGCATGTGGACTTCAACTCCCAGAATTCCACAGCCAGCATTGCTGGCTGTGGAATTCTGGGAGTTGAAGTCCACATGCCTTAAAATTGTCAAGGTTGAGAAACACTGACATAGGAGAACATTCTTTTAATTTTTTATTTTGCTTCTAGAAATCCAAGACATGCAAATTCACAATCTATTCTGATATTCTTTGTAATTTGGTAAAGATCAGTAGAAAGAAGTGAGATTGGGAGATGTCATATAGTGAAAGAATTAGTGGTTTAATGTGATTTAATGCAGTAATTTTAAACATAGGTTTTCAAATCCAAGTCTGTAAGACATGAGAGGTCCTTGGTGCTCTCTCAGCTTGATTGTTTTGTTGCAGACATTTCATTACCCAAACTAGGTAATCAATGCTAGTCTAGATATCTGGTGGCTTCATGGAAAACAGCTGAGTTGTAAGATATGGACTTTTAGTTATTAGTATCTTTATGCCAGAGAAGATATGGAGTTCAAAAAGATTTGGACTTTTTCATTGCCCAGGGAAGGACAGTATCCAGGACTGCCCACAGCAATCTAAAGTGGCAAGTAGGAATTGGCAGATTTCAATTCCTAGGCTTTGCCTTACGGTATCATCATCATCTTCGCCATTGTCTAGCCGCTGCAGGATGCAGGCCTCTTCCGCCTGTTTCCAACCAATACAGTCCTGAGCTCTTTTGACAATTGGGCCTGCAATACTTGCTGATACCGTGGATCCATCTTTTAGGTCTCTTTTGTGGATGCTTTTTATCAAGTGGGATCCATTCTTTGACTGCCTTGGCCCACCTGCCTTCAGTTCTTCTTGCTGTGTGACCAGCCCGTTTCCATTTCAATTCTTTTATTCTCTTGATATCGTACACTTTCGTTTGTTCTCTAATCCACGTGCAGGTCTTGCGATGCTGAACCCCCTATGACTGTGGTTAAAATTTGTCATGTGGTTAAAATTTGACAAAGCTGCCTCAAGTGTGGGCTGGTAAAAACAGTGTTTCTCAACCTTGACAATTTTAAGGCATGTGGACTTCAACTCCCAGAATTCCACAGTCCACATGCCTTAAAATTGTCAAGGTTGAGAAACACTGTGGTAAAAGATGAAGGCAATCTTAGACGAAGGGGGAAAAAAAAGATGTCGGGATATTTGAACCGTGGGAAAAGTTCCTGAACCGGTTTAGAGCTACACAACGAGGTTCCAAGGGGCGGGCAGTCACGTGCTTCGTCGTGCTTTCACCCAACGAAGGCCCGGCTCTGGATTTCCTGCAACAACAAACCCCCCCCCCCTCCTCTCTCTGTCACCAAGCGGCGGGCCCACCTCCTCTGGCTCGACAGGCGCCTGTCGCCAGGGCACCTGAGAGAGAGAGAGAGAGACAGGCAGACAGACAGGCAGACAGTTCCTCGAGGTATCCTAGCAACCACCAAGATGAGGGTGTGACCGGCGGGAGGAGCGGCCTCTCTGTGAGCTCATTTCTCAGGGCCTCCGCCCCCGGAGGAGGGCTTGGCCTGGCGCGGTCGTCGCGGAGAAGAAGACCTCTCAGTCGGAACGCGGGGGGACTATGGAGCAGGGGCTGTCCGCTCTTTCCTTATACTGCGCTCCAGTCGCTGCCGCCGCCGCCGCCGCCTACGCCATGGATCAGGAACAGGTGAGCGTCCCTTTCCCTCCCCACCCGCGCCGGATCCACGGGGGTCGCCTGGCTCGTTCCTTCCGCGCCTCGCCTGCCACGCCTCGGTCTTTCCCGGGACCAGGCGCGACGGAGGTGAAGCTACCTTTTCTGTCGCTTGCCTGGGGCAGAAGGCGATGGTCTTCTTCTTCCCTGAGCCGGTCCCCTTCCTGCTTTGGGACCGCAGGAAATTGAGCATGACCCTCTAAGCTTCAAGATGGGTTACATGCTGAAGTGCAGTCCCTGGCATCTGTTGGTGGGAGCTGTAGCTCAACACGCCCGGAGAAGGACTCGGGAGAGAAGACGGGCAGATGATGGTTGTGCCGTGGTGCATGGCAGGCAGGCAGGCATTTTTTTTGGGAGCGGTTATGTGGCTCCAGGTCAGGAATGCTTAAGGAAGCGAAAATGCTCTTTAAAAAAAAAACCCCAAGCTTCTAAACAAAACGTGTGTGCTTGATATTTAGCGTTTAATTTTTTTTTTGTTATTATTTTTAATTTTTTATTAATAAGAACAATTAAAACAAAAAAGGACATGACATGACGTTCCAGTATACATAATCCTAATAATTCGTTCCTTATCATATTTAAAGTTCTATATATATATATACATCTCTCTATATAAATATATACATATATTCCCCTATATAATACAATCTCAGGCTTATTTCTCTACATATTAACATATAATTTTATATGCCACAAACTTAAACTTTAACTCAAAACCCGAACAGTTCTTCTTGACTCATACCAGCAGTAAAATTTGTCCCATATTCCAAAATAGTCCGTTTCCGTCTTGTCCTTTAATTCCATAGTTAGCCTGTCCATGTCCGCACATGATAAAAAAATTTGTAGAATCTCTTCTTCAGTAGGAATTTCTTTGTTTCTCCAATTTTGTATATTTAGCGTTTAATTTGTGAAACATCTGCTGCTTCCAAATTTTCTGCATGCCTCCAGGGATTCTTTTTTTTTTTTTTCCACTTTCCAAAACTAATCTGTTCTGTAAGAATGTACAGATTGTCCTCAACTTACGGCCATTCATTTAGTGGCTGTTCGAAGTTACAATGGCGCTGAAAAAAGTGACATTGTTGCAGCATCTCCATAGTCACATGATCAAGATTCAGGGTCTTGGCAACTGGCATGTATTTATGACAGTTGCGCTGTTCTGGGGTCATGTGATCACCATTTGTAATAGTCCCAACTAGCTTCTGACAAGCAAAGTCAATGGAGGAAGCTGGTTTCACTTAACGACCGTGTGATCACTTAACAATTGCAGTGATTTGCTTAACAGTGCAAGAAGGTCATAAAATAGAGCAAAACTCACTTAGCAACTGCCTTGCTTAGCAATGGAAATTTTGGGCCCAGTTGTCATAAATTGAGGACTACCTCTGTGTTGTGGTCAAGTGAGGAATCTTGCTTGTCAGTCCATGGAGGAATCTTGTGATTTTTGGAAGGTTGGTTGCTGTAGTAAATGTTTATTATAATTGCATCCAGAGATGGGAGTACCAGACCATCTTATTTGTCTCTTGAGAAACCTATATACGGGTCAAGAAGCAACAGTTAGAACTGGACACAGAACCACTGATTGGTTCAAAATTGGGAAAGGAGTCTGGCAAAGCTGTATTCTGTCGCCCTGCCTTATATGCAGAGCACATCATGAGAAAGGCAGGGCTAGTTGAATCAAAAGTTGGAATTAAGATTGCCGGGAGAAATATCAACAACTTAATATATGCAGATGATACCACTCTAATGGCAGAAAGTGAAGAGGAACTAAAGAGCCTCTTGATGAGGATAAAGAAGGAGAGTGCAAAACTTGGCTTGAAACTCAACATTAAGAAAACAAGATCATGGCATCCGGCCCTCTCAATTCCTGGCAAATAGATGGGGAAGAAATGGAGGTAGTGACAGATTTTATCTTCCTGGGCTCCAAGATCACCACAGATGGGGACTGCAGCCAAGAAATTAAAAGACGCTTGCTCCTGGGAAGGAAAGCTATGGCAAATTTAGACAGCATACTAAAAAGCAGAGACATCATCCTGCCAACAAAAGTACGTATAGTCAAGGCCATGGTTTTCCCAGTTGCAATATATGGATGTGAAAGTTGGACCATAAGAAAGGCTGAGTGCAAAAGAATTGAGGCCTTTGAACTATGGTGCTGGAGAAGACTCCTGTGAGTCCCCTGGACTGCAAAGGCGATCAAACCGGTCAGTCCTAGAGGAGATCAATCCTGACTGCTCTTTAGAAGGCCAGATCCTGAAGTTGAAACTCAAGTACTTTGGCCACCTAATGAGAAGGAAGGACTCACTGGAGAAGAGCTTAATGCTGGGAAAGATTGAGGGCAATAGAAGAAGGGGACGACAGAGAATGAGGTGGCTGGATGGAGTCACTGAAGCAGTAGGTGTGAGGTTAAATGGACTCCAGAAGATGGGAGCGGACAGGAAGGCCTGGAGGAACGTTGTCCATGGGGTCGTGATGGGCCGGACATGACTTCGCAACTAACAACAACAATGTTTTGCATCCTACATTTATAATTGTCTAGACAACCCATGACTTCTTGGGTCATCATTTCTTATCTGATTCCTCAATGTCTTCAACAATAGCAGAGCTCCTAATGCACTGCCTTCACTGGAAAATTACTTTAAAATTCTGGGAGTTATTCAGAGATGTATATGGCTTGAAAATATGTTGAATTGCATGTTGAACTGTATAGCGTTGTCAAACATCAGGAGTTGACCACAGGAAATTTTTTATGACATTTTGTATTATGTCATAAAACGCTTTATGATAATTTCATAAAATGTTTTATAAAATTTGCCAAATTTCAATTCCATTCTTGGACTTTGAATGCATTTTGCACTCATTTGAGATACAAAATGTTTTGCCATATTATACACCATTTCGCCCAGTTAAAGTTTACAGAGAAGAGAGTTTTAGTAGCATATAGATTGGCTCACAGATATCAAAGTATTTTGCATAAAATAATACAAATTTAGGGAGCTTCCCAAAATTTGTCATCCAATGGATTAGAGAGGAGGGGAGGGAGGAAGAGTTGGCCAGAAAGAGCTAGCATTACTCATGTACCTTTTTCGCTTTTTTCTGGAATCTCTCTTTGGGGAAACTGATTAGAACAAATAGATGAATTTGTGTACTTTGCTGGAACATTTCTTGAAAATGAGAAAATGGGTAGAGAAACAGTAAGATGTGAACCAGATGAGCCAATTCTATTTTATTGCAAGTCTGAAAGTACAAATCTCCTTTATAGTCTGATCAATTTAGGGTGGGTCCTTCTTAATTTTTTTTCTCTGACCATTGAGCAGCTACAGGCTCCTCTCCCTTTTATCTGATCATTCCCTAGGCAGCATCTCTTCCCTTCATCTTCAAGGTCATACCCATATAACTATTTCAATAACATGTCATCTGTTGCAAGCACCAAATATTTGTTGAAAGAAGAAAAATAGTGATAAAAGCATTCTTCTGTCCATTTATGTGGAATGGAGAATTGGTGTGCTGGGAGAATCATAAAAATAAGGTGAATGAAACGGGGATGGGATAATTAAGTTCATGTGATAACATTTATATATATATTTACTAGATTTGTAAGGATGCCCAATTCAAACAATGTGACTGGATGATGTACAACAACAAAAAACAAATGATAAACCAAAAATCCCCACATAACATTAAAATATAAACAGTATGTAAATATAAACTACAAAATATAAAATGGCAAAACAACCCAAAGGGGATCATTCATATGGCTCCCAATGCCTCAGAAAAAAACCAGGTGTTAACTGCTTTTCTAAAAGTAAAGAGAGTAGAGGTCTGTTGTATATTTGTTATTTTATTTATTATTTTATTTATTATTACATTTAAAGAACAAAAGTAGTGTCAAAATTAGTATATTCATGCAGTAGAAACAAAGGTGGTTTACATTTATAGAAAGATATAGAGAGGTACAACAAATGATGCTGGCATAACTAAATATAATAATTTTTTCTCTCTCTCTCTTATATCCCACCTTCATATTTTTTTGCTCACTGCTTTGTATCATTTTTCTGTGCTGTGCACAACATTGCCTATCTCAAAACAGAATAGCATGATAAATATGAATGTATCAGTATGGATAACCATATGGAGGTGGAGGGAACTAGGGGAAGTTATTATTATGATTGTTATTATTGCAGTGTTATTCAATAATAACAGTCTGCTTTCTAATATTTCATTGCAACATAGAAAATTATCAGTGCATACCTTTTCACAAAGAGTTGGCAGTAAGTTGCGGTACAGATCTTAGCAATTGTAGCTTGTCAGTTTTTTTAAATACTATATTTTAAAATATCTAAATAGGTAACATTTTTAAATAACTAGCTTATTTATGTTATGCTATAATGAACAAGATTGTACTAATTTGCCACAAAATAACTAGGCTTTAAAATAGACTCAGTAATAAATATGTATTTTCCATTGCTAGTGGCTAGATGCACAACTCAGGCTTAACTTTAAACAAATTCTGGATATAGTTGAATCTTGATTTACAAGGCTTGAAGATCTAGAAATTCTTAGACATTAATGTATTGTATGTGATCTCTTTTATATTTTCATATAAATATAAATACATTTACAAATATTGCTTATTTGTGTAACTTTGATAGTCAATTTTTTCTACTATCTTGTATTATTTACACTCACTGGTTTGATTTCTTGTAACGCTGTAAGTAGATCACTGTTACAAATCGGTCTGCTCAATTATTAAATGAAGATCAGTTTCGACTTTCAGCTAATTGCGCAAGCCTGGCAAACGGGTGTCAACAGTTGCTATACATGTAATGGATCTATTAGAAGTGACTTTTAAAACTAACGCAAGTGTGCTGTCAATACATTTTGGATGTATTTGTCTATTATCTATAGCAGTGCTGGCGAACCTTTTAGAGACCGAGTGCCCAAACTGCAACCCCAAACCCACTTATGCATCGTCGGGTGCCGGGTGGGTGTGGCCCATTGGGTGGGAGTGGCTCATTGGGTGGGCGTGGCTGCGGTGGTAACAGCAGACTGGGTGGGACTAAAAAGTTCAATCAATCAATTCCAACTTTACAAGATCTTTTTCTTTCCTGCGAGAAGTTGAAATTGACTGATTGATTGAACCTTTTTTTTGTACACGGCGGTGGAGGCCTAAAGTGAAAAGGTTTTATAAAACCCAGCTGAAGGCCTAGGACTGGGGCGATAGCGCGCGTGCCCACAGAGAGGGCTCTGAGTGCCGCCTCTGGCACCCGTGCCATAGGTTCGCCACCACTGATCTATAGTTTTCAGATGCCAAAGATAATTATCCCACCTACCTTCCTTTACTATTATCATAATCTTTATGATGGCTTATCTTTTTCAACTTTTAATAGAATGCTGGTAACAGCAGCAAATATAAAACTTCCCTTTAAAATTGCAACATCTGGTTTTCTAGTTACCTCTGTTATTTTGGGGGCCAGGGAGAACCCTGAAGATACTAGGATTGATGCTGAAAGCAGTGATTCTCTGAAATTGCAAGGTATTTGAATTTCTGATTGTACCAGCTTAAAATATAAAAAATTGCCGCTTTTGCTTATAATTTATATAAAAGGAAAATACGAGTTTTTCCTCATAGTTTGGATTTGATACTGCCAAATTTCAGTAGCGTATCTCATGACTTCTACAGTCTCTAATCTGAATTCCAATTTAGTTAGAAATTACTAGGTAGCCCTGAGCAAAATCTTTAATTATAGGTCTAGCAGTACTAAATTGATTAACATTACATTCAAAATAAAAACTCCCAGTAATATTGTAGAATATATGAACACTCTCTGAAAATTAATATACTCAAAAGAACATTAAACAATTGTAATTTTGGTTGGCATTTAGCAATCTATGGCAATATGAAATCCTACACAATTTTATGTTTACTCTAGACAATTAAATCAACCTCAACATAAAATTAAATTAAAATGAACCTTTCACTGTCTTCAAGCCACGAATGATATGATATACCATTGCTGACAAAGATTGACTCAATATATACTTATCAATCTCCTTTCTTCATCACATGAACTATATCTGAATATACTCTATTACAGCTAAATACAAATGGAGACAGAGGTTTTGAGAATGTGGAACTTGGTGTCATGGGAAAAAAGAAGAAAATTCCAAGAAGAGTTATCCATTTTGCAAGTGGTGAAACCATGGAAGAATATAGTACAGATGAAGATGACGAGCAGCAAGAGAAAAAAGACCTATTGCCTTCTGTTGATCCAGTAGGTTTTTCTACGTTTATATCAAACTAGACAATTCATGTCCCATTCAGTCATCATTTCAGAGATATTTCCTTACCTAAACAGAGAAACAGAGTGACCAAGGGTGAGCAATAAAGCAGTGGAAGTAAGAATGACTTCTGACTTCCCTCCAGCTTCCCCACTGAGTTTTCTTGTGGGAATTTGGCAGGGAGCATTGGAAATCTTCCCCTCCCCAGCAGACAGGTAAGTGGTTGTTGCTGGGTTGTGGAAGGAGGGAAGGATTGTGAGATTGCCTGGAAAATTGTCATGGAACTTTGAAAATAAAAATCACGTAAACGCAGCAGCAACCAGTAGCACTGAAGCAGCCTTAGCTTCCCCAAATTTCATTCCCTTGGGAATCATGAGTCCCAGATTTTGGATACATTTTGTAAGTTAGCCTATTTGAGGATCTTTGTACAAAAATTGTTGCCATATGATGTACCATTTTGCCCAGGTAAAGATCATGACAATGATAGTTTTAGTGGTATATACAGGTCATCCTTGATTACAACAGTTTGTTTAGTGACCGTTCAAAGTTACAACGGCACTGAAAAAAGTGACTTATGACTGTTTTTCACATTTACGACCTTTGCAGCGTCCCCGTGGTCAGGTGGATCAAAATTGAGGTTCTTTGCAACCGACTCATTTTTTATGATGGTTGCAGTATCCTGGGGTCATGTGATCATCCTTTGTGAACTTCTGACAAGCAAAGTCAGTGGGGAAGCCAGATTCACTTAATGACCATATTACTAAATTAACAATTGCTGTGATTCATTTAACAACTGTGGCAAGAAAGGTCATAGAATGGGGCAAAATTCACTTCACATATATCTCACTTAGCAACAGAATTTTTGGGCTCAATTGTGGTCATAGATCAAGGACTACCTGTAGATGATTATCAATTGGCTAGGTCAGTGGTATTACTCACTTTAATTTTTTTTTATCTAGAAATAAAAATCCATTAACTTGGTTGATGATGTATTATTTTTAAAGAAGCAGAAAATAGTTGATTAGTTTGCTTTTGAAATGTATCTAAGCTTAATTGGCCAATGGCATTAGGCAAATCACATTTCATTCAATCATAAAGTTTTTTTCATTTGCAGCAAAAGAATAAATCTGACATGCCTGCTTTTATAGATTTCTGAAATGATGGAGTAAGAATATTACAACAGAATTTCCCCTGTGTAATAGTTTTCTCCTACTTACCTCTGAATAACTTCTCTGATTGGACACTCTAGAACAGGGGTCCCCAACCTGTGGGCCATGGCCCACTACCAGGCCATGGCCTATTTGTAACCAGGCTGCATGAGCGGCAGGCCAGTGTGCATATGTGCGCACAGTTCAATTCACACGAGCAGTGGGCACCACTGCGCGAACCTGCCCCTTGCACAAAACCATCCCTTCTTCCCCCTCCTCCCTCTCGTGCCAGGCTGTCAATCCAGAAAGGTTGGGGAACACTGCTCTAGAACAATGTGAAACATGATATGAAAGCAGAAGAAAATCAAAATATATTAAGACAGGAACACCTTGTAGAAATCGGAGTTCATGATCAACATGTGTAAATGATTTGAATATGAATATATGATTTCTTTTTAAGATTTGTATTTTCTTGATTTAAGAAATATCATTAATATTATGTATTAGCATTAAATTAATATTATGTACTAATATTAAATTAGTATTAAAAAAGCATGTTTTAGAAAAAGTATTTGATTTAATTGATGCCAGGATGGGAATCTGAATACTATTGATGTTATGTTGAACTCAGAAAGGGTAACATGGGATATTAATGAAAGAAGTTCAGTGGATTTTTCTTAAAATCAAATTTGCCGCATAAACAAACAATTCAACTCTTTATTGCAGGCATCATTAACATGGGGTCCTTATTTGTGGTTTCAGATGCTAAGAGTAGCCACATCAACACTCTCAGGTATGAGCTTCTTCTGATTCCTTGTGCATAAACAGATAATAACTTGATAAGAATCCAGTGACATAGGCAAGCCAGTGTAATAGTAGTATAAATTCTGGGAGATTGAATGATGTCCTTGAATGATATTTTTTGAAGGGGAAATAATATTGATGAAATAATTCCATGCACTGTTAAATTTTGTTCTTTAGCCAAGAGAAGACATTCAGATGAAGTTCTGAAAACACTAATTTCCTTAGTCACCAGGCCTATTCAGTGTTCACTGAAGTTTAAAATTGGTATTAAATGCTATTTGTCTACATAGAATAAGTTGAAGCAGATTATGAAACAAAAACCTTTCAGTCTGCACTTTTCAATGCCTACTATTCACCATAAATTGGCATGAGTAAATTGTACATTGGTGTGAAAAAATATTTCAGTGAAATATACCCTTTAGTTCCTATAAATATGCCTTCTGCTTTGCTTCATTAGTTGATTGTAGTTGAGAAAGATGGAAGTAAAGTCAGATCCTTGTAAAAGTTCATTGGATAATTTGCACTAGATCAGGAATAAATTCTGAGTCCCAATTTAATTTGGGGGTAAAAGATTTATGAGGTGCATTGCATTCAGGTTTGATATTCAAAACAAACCCCCAAGGTCAGAATTTCTTAATTCTTAATGTATTGTATAAGGCTGTAGCTGGAACACAAATATTGGAGTTCTAGTGAGAAACAGGAAGAGATTCTTTATGCTTAAAATCTGTTCACTGCTGGTTTAACAAAAAAGTTATATCATAATAAAGGCACCACAATTCTGTTGTTTTTGCTAACAGTAGCTAGCCCACCTACCTTATTCCCAGAAATTTATGTAATTATAATTAGGAGGATCCACCCCGGCTGTCTGATGGATCAAGATCAGTGGTTCTCAATCTGTGGTCCACGAACCACTGGGGAGGCGACTATGTCATCACAGGTGGTCCACGAAACCTTGAAGAAATGTTATGATTTAAATCTTGAATTAAGTCTCGGTGGTCCGTGGTCATGGTCCTTGGCCACCAAAGGTATTTAAAGGGAGTCTGTGGTGAAGAAAAAGTTGAGAACCACTGATCTAGAGGATTTCTGGAGAATGCTTAAAGAACTTCACAGTGCTTTGATGGGCAGCTCTGTTGCTTGCCTCAACAAAGCTATTAGCAAAATTCCTTCCCAAATGTCTTCTCTCTGTGTACCAATTTTGGGATGTTCCTTCCTCTGAGGCACTCTGGGGGAATATAGCAATGAAAGTAATGCTTATAGTGTTGTTGGAAGAGAATTAGAACTGAATGTGACCAAACATTTTTTGTAAGTTCTACATATGTTGCCAACAGATTTTTGGGTGCAATGCTAGTCTTGATTTATAAATTCCCCCTGTGGTCTGGCACTAAAGAATATTTAGGATCATGTGATCCAACTAGATTTGGTCCATCCAAGATGAGCTTTCTGGGAGAAACTGCTAATGGTGCCCTATTTTTGTAAGGAAATTAAGGCCAGAAAATGTTGCTTTTCAGTTATGAAATCAACTCTGTGGAATAGCCTCTTACCTAGGTTGGCCCTTTTTATTCTGGCATTCTGGAAGCTGAGGAAAAACTGCATTTTCCAGATAGCTTGTGGATTGATACCACTGTATGAACTATTTCACTTTATTATTTACATTGATTTACATTTGTTCGTTTTTGGAGTGGGTGAGCCTTAATGTACACCTGTTGCCTCTTAAAACCCTTCTCCTTTCAAATCTCCCCAAAATGGGCTGAAAATTGTGCCCTTGCCTACTCTGGGGATCTTACTGTATAACTTTCCACATTTCTGCACTTTTCGGATGGTGAAAAAGATTTTTAAAAAATACTGCACTAGTCACAAAAATATTTATTTTTCCCAAATTAAAGGAATGCCTCGGCATCATAAAAGCAGCATAACATTCTTAAGAGACAAAAAATAGTAATAGCTACAATCCACTGTTTTGTTTGGAAATGAGCCATCTGCCCCCCAAAAAGACATAGTTGCATCAATTGAGTGTTTGGATAAATAAGTGCCTCACATTCTGCTAAATTGGTATTTCATGGCTAATAATTCCTATCATGTTTTGAGAATGATTATAACGTGCTCATAAAATGCTGATTTTGTGTGTTTGTCTAAAAGTTCTCTCACTTTGAAAGTGGTTCCTGAATGTTGATTGAAAATATGTTCAAGAATTAATCTGGAGCGTTCATAACATATTTATTTCATTTACTCAGTGTGTGACTTCCTTGGTGAAAAAATTGCCTCTGTTTTGGGCATCAGTACACCAAAATACCAATATGCCATAGATGAATACTACAGAATGAAAAAGGAGGTATGCTTTTTTTAAAAAAATCCTTTTAACAATGTAGATGTAAAATCTTTTTCTGAAAAATGACACTATTAATTTAATTGACATTAGGAATGTACACAGATGATGTTTGTTTCAAAACAGAAAGAAGCACAGAGCACTTGCTGCTACTGCTGAACCATTCTGCATGAGCTGTGATTTGCCAGGAATAAAAGCTGGTGCATTTTATTGCTCAGAGTTTAAGATGCAACAAAATTCCCAGCCATTCTGGAGGGATTTACTGAGCAAGTAGGGCACAGTTGGTTTGCCTCACCCCTTCTTTTCCTTCAGCAGATATAAATGCGGCATGTTCCACTGATCTGCTCCCCCCTCCTTTTTTCATTCTCCTTCATCCTCTTAGCTGTTGCTAAGAACGCTCAGTGTGGCAGATCTCATTGGCCTGCCCAACACCCATCTTTGCAATAATTTCCCTGTCTTCTCACCTTCTCGTTCCTCCACCCTCAGTAACCATTGCTTTTTCCTATTTTTACTCCCCTTCTCCTCCAAACACTGCTGCTTAGAATATTTAGTTGCATGCTTAGTTTGGGTATGAGCCACAGCTATTGAACAGGTACAAACAGCTATTTCAAACTGAGAACGGTTTGCGCAGAAGCCATTTTAGAGACACTTTTGATCTTTTCAGTGTTTCTGCTGACAACCATGACGGTTGTATTATCATTTCATTCAATATTGGAATGTTTTTGGCTGAACCGTGAAAGTGTTGCAATATTATTTCATTTGATTTATACCTACCTTTCTGCTTTGATAACGCCCAGAGTAGCTAATAACAGTTTAAATCAAAAGGAAAATACACGTTAATTTAAAATTTATAATAAAATGAATACAGAAAGCATTTAAAAGTGAAAGAGTGGGAGTGAAATGGAATTCCTGCAGGAAGATGTTTCCTAGATTGGGAACCTTCCTTCCTACGTGCCAGAAATATGGTTTTTCAGTAGCAAATGCATTTTCTCCTATTGATCTGAAGCAGACAGATTCATTCAGTGAGGCCGCATATGAATTCTGTGTCTTGCGTCATCAGTTAGCAGCCTAGCTTCAGACACATGTTCTGACCTACAATTCTGGGCATTTTTTGAAAGTAGCTCTATCAAGAGCATTTACAATAGATTGCAACAGTGGTGCGGTATTTCAAAGTATTTGATAGGATTAAAGCTTGTTGAGAAGTAACCTGTTGTAAATTTACATCAATTCTTTTAGGAGGAGGAAGAAGAGGAAGAGGACAAATTGTCAGAGGAAGCAGAAAGGAGATTTCAAGAACAACAGAAGCAGAGCCAAGAAGGGATGGCTGTTCAAACTGCCCAGCCAAGGGATACAGCGTGTAGTACATTTATGAATCTCAATTTTGAAAGTGAAGAAGAGCATCAGTCCGTTGTAGAAAGTAAACGGGATTTTACTGTAGTGTCTGCTTAGAATGACATACAATACCATTTCTTGAATTGCCAAACATCTGTTGGTCCTTTTTGGCATGTTTAGTGGCATGTAATTTATTTAAAAATATGGCCATGAGAGAGTTATTAATATTAGTTTCTTCAGTCCATCTCTGTCTAATAAAGGCCAAAATATCTTATTTCACCTGTTATGAAATGGAAATAAATGGGTTCTATTTTGATCTTTCTATGCAGAAGTAAAAGGTCTTTCCCAAGCACCTGGTGCCTTCGTGATAGTTATGGACTGATAACTATGCTTTTATGTTATGTTTTTATAATATTATTTACTGAAAGCTAGATGAAAATTTTAAACTAACTGGAAAATGTATACCTTTGTGATTTAGTCTAATTGCACTGTTGCACATGTTTATATGAACGTCCAGCAGTTATCTAATTCATGTGGTTTTGTTAATATTTGCTAAAGTAAATAATGATCTAAAATTCATCTAAAAATTGATAAAGGATAAGTGTTGTAGGTCCAACAAAGAAGGATCTAAAGATTATTAGTTGATTGATATTAAATCTCAGGCTTTGCAAAATGTAATAGAAAAAAATCCCACTATTCCAAAGAGTTGATGCTTAGTCTACATCAATATTAGAAGGTGAATTGTTGAATGTAAACACTGAGCAAAATTTTAAATGAATGTGCTGTTCGTGAAATATGATGAATTATTAGTACTGTATTGTTCATAGTTTCATACATGTACCTATCACTATTCCGACCTTAAAAACTGAACTTAGTCACATGTAAAATTCAACGTCTCGGAAATATGTATTTTTAATAGGAAGAACTGCCTATTATGACAATTGTGAATTTTCAAACTAAAAATCTGTTTTTCATCCTAAGAAACACTGAAAATCTACTGTAAATGGAAATTTTCTGTAGGACAATCCATAAAACATTTGTAACGTGAAGTTTATAAAGATCAGAGCTGAATGGATTGTGTGCATGTGGCATAAAGGGAGGTATTCAGGAAAGTTGTTACGCTCCATAAACTTTCTGGATGTAATTAATTCAGTAGTTTACATTGCCCCTTCAATCTCTTCTTAAACATATACATTTATTTAATTTAGCTGGAATTTTAAAAGAAACTGCAATACATTATATAGTATAATAAAGTACATGAAAATGGCAAAGATAGAGAATATATCCTTTTGCCTTCATTGTCATCTGATTGGGAGAAATCTCATCTAGTATACTGCTCATTTGGTACTTTTTAAATGTTTGGACAGTTTCAATATATGCATCCATTTTGGATTACAAAAATGATATAGTTGTCGGCTATAAACTGTGTAACATAATTATTCAAATCACTGTACAGGATAAAAAAGTTTTAAGGCAACATAGTTAATAAACTGGTTACCTTGTTCTAATTTTTGCTAGTCAGAAATGTTCCTGCTATATTGAATAGGGAAGGGTTTGTTATGAGGTTCTTCAGTCATTGTGCCTTACCTTTTAATATTTTTTCAAATATGCAAATGAGATGTTTCTTTTTTTGTAAATGCATTAAAATGTATATTTAATATAATTATAATGATAGTTGAGTCCATGGATGTTATTATAGGTCTGACAATTGATGTTAGATATCTGAAAATGGGAGCAAAAACAGTGCCATAATGTTCTTCCTCCTATGGGACTGATAACAAGATCTAATCTGCATTGAGTTTAGCAGGATTTAATCAGTTGCAAGCAATTAAGACAGTGTCTTTTTAAAAAATGTATTCTATTTATTGCTCTTACATATTTAGACACTCAAGGCTTCCAGTGTGTTTGTAAAACATGCCATACTTATTCTCCTAGCTTATTTATGCACCATCATTTTACATTTTACAACAGTGCTTTACTCAGATTTATTCTGTCACTCATCCTTAAAGCTTAGAGTAAACCAAAATTTAGTCAGGACATAATATGCTTAAGACCTGGTTTAAAAACTGCACCGAATACAGACAAAATGACAATACATTTGATCATTATCCAAGCATTTTAACTTACCGTGGTTTGCATTGTTGGAATTAAAGTATTATTTATACCAACATTCTTTAACATGGGATCTAAATAGATAGCAGAGCCATATTGCTAGAACTAAGTTCAACACTTCTGGATGACAACTGATTGGGGAGAATGACTTATACACATAGCTGCTTAATATATTAGTCTTCTGTGGAAATGACGGTGTTGTTTGACTACATCAATATGGTCCAGCTGACAGGTACTATTTACTTGTTAATTTCTAGAATTAGGTTGCACATTTGTAATTACACACAGAGAAACATAATAGATTTTGTTTTAGCAAACGTAATTCAACAGCACAAAACTGAAATATTCTAGAAAATTTCTAAAGGATATAACTTGCATAAAATGCAGTATGGATTGCTACTATAGATTCAAAAATGATTTAAATAAACATTAATTTACCAACAGCTCTTTTTAACATTTAATAACAGGTCTTAGTAAGCATTTTTTAAAAACTCAAGTGAGGTTCATTTCACTTAAAAAAAAAAAAAAGATGTCCATCTGGAGTTAAACGGAAACTTCAGTGAAATGTGCAATGAATTTGCTGTTCAGCCTCAACAGTCACTGTATCAGTTGGGCATATCTCCAATAGTACAATCTATTTCTGTTAAATCATGTATCAAGAAGATCTGTTGTATTGTCATTATCGCTGGCCACAAGAACTTCTCTGTTTTCGTAAGTCCAGAAGCCATTAAGATCAATTAGAATACTGGTAACTGTGTCTCCTTGACTACTATTGATTAAATCTTGAAGTGAAATCTTGTAAGGATCCTTAGGTTTTACCATATCAAAGATTTCATCCTAGAAAAAAAAATAAAATTTAACAATTTACTTATAAGAATCTCATGGTATAAGCTTACACGCCTATAAAAACAAGTTATATAATCAAACTAAATGCTATCTTATACCTTTTTGTTCTTCTGAACAACGGAAGACTACATAGCACAAATACAATGTGTAGTAATATCCAATAAATAAGATGATCTGGATGGAAATATATAAGCTCCATTAATAAGTTGGCAAGGGATAAATAATTTTTTAACTGCAGACCATTGAGATAACAGATGGAAGCTTCTTAGGTAGATGCCTCCTTGATTCATTAAAAGTATAAGAAGGGATAAGAGGTATGACAGAACTAGACTTGCAAGATTCTGATAGTTAATCTCAATAAAAATAAATCAGCCTTTCTGTGGAGGTGATTACCTACTCTGCACCCAACTGGATTATTGCAATGCATTCTACATGAAGCTGCCCTTGAAGTCAATCCAGAAGCTACAAATGTTACAAAGTGAAATTGGAAGCAGTAATGGGCACCTCCCAGTATGCCTATTGTCATCACTGCTCTGTGAACTGCATTGATTGCCATTTGGTTTCTGGGTGCAATTTAAGGCGCTAGTTGTTACCTACAAAGCCCTTTATGGCAGGGAGCCTGGATATCTGAGGAACCACCTATCTCCAATAATTTTTGCTTCCCTGGTATAACTGGCAGAATTGGTATGCTCTAGGTCCCCTTACCTACGTGGGTTATATTTTGTTAATGGTTTTCACTATTTTGAATTTGTATCTGTAAGCTGCCCAGAGTCTATGGGAGTGGGAAACTATAATAAACTTAAATAAATAAACAATTACCTTATGTAGTTAAGTATAACTTCATATTTTTAAGATACTATAATTTGAATAAATATAGCCAGAATGCAACACTAAGAAAACTATTTCTGCTTATGCAATAAAATCAACATTATGTAACATAAGATATGCATATACCAGTGATGGCGAACCTTTTAGAGACCGAGTGCCCAAACTGTAACCCAAAACCCACTTATGCATCGTCGGGTGCCGGATGGGTGTGGCCTATTGGGTGGGCGTGGCTGCGGTGGTAACAGCAGACTGGGTGGGACTAAAAAGTTCAATCAATCAATTCCAACTTTGCAAGATCTTTTTTTCCCTGCAAGAAGTTGAAATTGACTGATTGAACCTTTTTTTTTTTTTTTGTACACGGCGGCGGAGGCCTAAAGTGAAAAGGTTTTATAAAACCCAGCTGAAGGCCTATGACTGGGGCAACGGCGCGTGTGCCCACAGAGAGGGCTCTGAGTGCCGCCTCTGGCCATAGGTTCGCCACCACTGGCATATACCAATATACAGTATATGTAACCATATTGCTGACTATCAGAGAAGTATTTCAAAAGTAAGGTCATTAAGTATTGCACACAAATATATTTTGATCAGAATTCTAACCTTCACATCTTGAAAAGAAACTGGATCTTGTCCATGGATTTTCATTTGTTCTTGAATAGCCTACAGGGACAGAGATGAAGGAGATGAATAACATTTTAAAAATGAGGATTTTTTAAAGACGAATTTATTACGTATATAATGAACTAAGCTTAATTAGAATTGCCATAGTTGTGAAATTTTTCAAAGATGCAAAAATATACAGGTAACAAGTACTGTAGTAATGGTGATGGATCATTTGCACAATTGAATGAGAATTGGACATAGCATTTTATAATATTCTATACAGGAAAGCTAGTATTAATTATCTGTTCATAATATTTAAGGGACCTAGATGTCCCACTACTAAGAGATTTAAGTGGAGACACAACAGAGTGAACTTGGAATTCAAAGCATATACCGGTAATATTAATGATAATTGATTCTGGCCAATATGAATTATTTGGAAAGCTGTGGACCTGTGTTAGCTTTATCCAACTCCTTTCAGGAATAGCATGGGTTACATTCAGGTCTTGCACTACAAAATATGTGATCAATTTTACCAAGAGAAAAAAGACAGACCATCTGCTCAATCTATTTGCAATCATTCCCAACTCTTAGCCCATTAAAAAAAGAACTTAGAGCAGCATGTCTCATTGTTAAAATAAGCCTTTAGCCTCAAAATTTGAGCCTAACTATTATGTGTAGGCTGGCCGAGAAAAATAATTGGAATATGAAGGGCCAAAGTGTTGTTTATTACAGAGGAATTAATCTGCTTCATGCTGCTAAAAAAACCATACTTCCTGATGTATTTTAAACCTGCAGAGCATTTATTGTAAAGGCTTTGAAAAGGTTCCAGAGGTTGGAGGGGGGGAGGTTGACAGTAAAAACCTTTGACTGAATTAGCCTATTCTTGGATAATTCACAATGTAATATTTTTGTTTGGTAGCCACCAAATTGAAGGAACAATATTAGGTGACATGCTGGGGGGGATTGGTGGGGTGGTATAGGTTCTACAAATAATAATTAAGGCTGTTTAATTATTTGACTCTTAATAAAATGTATTAATATCTTGATGTGATTTTAACAATAAAACCATTCATTATCACAATTTCCAAAAGGATTGCTTATTAATAAGGAATATTCCATTTGCTGAAAATAGAAAAAAAGATTAAGTCAACTAACATTTATATTGATCTTGTAAAGGCTAAGATAGTATTTCCAGTCTTAAAATTTACTGTATACTGATAGATCTCTGTGAAACTGTTGATTTGTTGATCAGTGTAGCTTGTGAAATACTTGTTTTGCTGAGATTAGTAAACATCATCTGTAAATTTTGTTAATTTGAATTATTTCCCAGTCAAGTCAGCAAAACAAATTAAAAAGGGCATTTTAAAATTTACACTTAAAAGTTATCATATAATTAGACAGCAATTTAAGCTTTTCTATCATGGCAGTAGCTAAAAAAACAGTCTATTAACCATTAGAGGTTATTAGCAAGTCTTTCTTTAAAAGAAGCTGGGCTTATTAATTCTTTAGAAAAACTCATCTTTAATTATAAGCACAGCAATATGGTACCGTAATTTAAGATGGTCTGAAAATAATTCTGATTTTTTTTAATGTAAAATTTTAAATGTGTGTATTTTTGACAAAAGCCCTGTAATAAATAGAGGTACTTTAAACTAAAGCAATCACCAGCTGGTTTCTAAGCAAAGGCACAATGGTTACAACAACACATGTACAAAAGAATGACCTACCTTCACAAAAAGGGACTTACCCTAAAAAAATAATTAAGGGAAAAGACATTCAGGTATCCTTTGTTCTCTATATCAAGCAATTTGAAAATATACTGCAAAGCTGCAGGTTCTTTTCTGTTTTCTAATGCAAGTACAAAGTCCAAGTACGTCTTATAGTCCTAAAAGCAGATGCAATCATGTTTATTATAGTCCTCCTTTTAAATTGATTTTGCAAGCAAACCATAATTGGTGACTATTTCCTTGTAGGTGAGCAGTTACTTTTTAGTGAAAGTCAGCATGAAATAGAAATGGCCACTGAAGGGGGAAAAAGTGAACAGAAAATGCTCTTTTTAACTGGCTAAGCAACATCCCCATAGATTTCTATCAATGCTACAAGAGAGCTGCTCAGA